ACTTATAGATGTAAGGAAATAATATAACACAACTCCCTGCATGCTGTATTGGTGCATGTAGAATTAGCAAATGGGAGATTCATGGTTCAAAACGCGGCGAGGACAACCAATGATGTTAGATTATTTTTTGACAAGAAAATTCAAATAAATAATATATTTTCTATATAATAGCCCAAGAACTAAAGTATGGTAGACGATAATAGATCATCTTTTGGATTTCTTCGACTGGGTTTGGATGCTCTCCCCAGTTACCCTTGAACTGGAAGAGAAATAAGGGATTAGTTTATTCCTACGTGCCTGATCTTATATGTTACGGTTCAACATTTTGAAGCAGAAGTTGGTAAGATGATTGGAATCATGGAGAGGTCACAGTTCATTTTCTGATATTTCGTGCATTTAAAAGTTAAGCTTCCAGAGTGGTGCCGGAACTAAAACGTGGCAGATGACACAATTGTTTAGTTACTAATCAGTATCAGACAGATTAAATCTAAAAGATAAAGTTAAACACCTTGTCCAAGTGGTAACACCCTTGCGTGTTGGGTGATGCGCATTTTATATCAGACAGTGGCACCATATGATTTTTAAATAGTTGGATATGTTGATTAAATTAAAAAGGCAAATATATAACTTATGCTTTGCAGAGTTGCAACCCTTTGCAATAAACCATTGACTTTGTGAATCAATTTTTTTAAAGTTCACACGAAACATAAAATAAATAGATAATTTAAAAAATGGAAATCCGAAATTCGCATTTGGAAGGTGCTCAGATTCTCAATGACATGTTCAAAATTTGATGGCTGCGGATGTCGCCGTAGTTTGTGAGTGCGAATAAATCCCATACAGTTTATTCAATTTTTAACAACAGAAATTCATGCCAAATATTGGTTCTCAGACTCACTATTCTTAGTAATTTGTTGTCATCTGTGATTAGCAATTGTAATCATCTTGGTTTATTTTGACTCGTACTCCAAAATAGTGAAATTAGTAATTAAAAATGTTGAAATGAATATTCTTAGTCACTTTGCGTTTAATTTAAATTAATTTTGTATTTCAAAATATTAATTTAATTTCCTAATTACTGGATTCGACTAAATTTCAAACCAAATTTCAAAAATATTTGTCTTTCGAATATTCGATTCTGCGAGCGCTTGTCCTTCATATGTATTTTGCGCATGTTAGAAATCTAAAATTCTATCTCTCTACCTATCTGTGCCTCCGGCGGTAAACGTTCCAGCAACTCCTCAACAGTCTTTTATCCTGTCTTGAAACCTCATAGTAGTTAATTTCGAAGACCCAATCTAGGAAAATTACATAAATTAAATGCCAAAATATTCCAAATTTAGTTCACTTGGGGAATTGTTTTATTATTAAACCAGCGTGTCGCAGGCACGTAGCATCTCACTAATAATACTTTATTTCGCTTTCCTGTATTATTAACGTCGAGGTATTCAAAAGACGCCGGAAGAAGTGTTAAACAATCATCGCTTCATTTAGATTAAAGCTTGCCATAAACAAGGTATTTTCCAAACACGAGAAAGACACTGCGACCACTAAAATTCTTATTCGGTCTTTATTTTTGCAGCCGTTGGACAAACACATATACTTCAAATTACAAAAATGTACACGGTCCTGTTTAGTTTTCTAACAGTTTTTTTAATTTGAAAGCTTTTCCTGAATTTGCGTATTTCCCATCACATTTCTTCGCCAGGATGCATATTAAGTAGGTGATCTAGAGCATTTAAAACTGTTGAAACGAAAAGGTTAGTCATAGCATGATTTCGCTTGTGAAGATTCTAATAAATCACAAAAGAATACTATTCAATGACACTGAAGGGAAAAAGCAAACCTCGAGTAAACCTAATTTATCTACGAACCGACCCCAGGACAAGTGAATATGATATTAAAAATCGCATATTTTGAAATTAAATATCTCGATTATTTTTCTCATATCGGAGTATTTTAAAGTTTGTATTTTATTGTTAAGGAGCTCAAGTACTCAAGGGGCACCGAGCTATATACAAAGAGAAGAGGCTTCATTTAATGTAGGCGTCTTCAACCAGTGGCCCGCTGAAGGCATTTTAGTGGCCCCTCACATTTCAATTTGTAGGAAAATTGAAGAATTTAAAAAATAGTTTGATTTTCAGAAAAATTGCCTTGTCAGCTTTTTGTCGTAAAAAATTCATTTTGTCTTATTCTTGATATTTAAAACATTTATATTAAAAATTATGTAAAATTGATTAATTTAAATGAATAAGTGATTTAATGTTTAAGAAAGATGGAAAATTTCGATTCACAAAACTGTTTAAACAATATTTTTAATTGTATCATATTTTATTCTAGCTATTATGTTGAATCTATTCAGAATAAAGGTCGAAATGACCCTGCTGGCCAGGCCAGAGAATCTTCCTCAGAGGACGAGTTTATGGCGAGCTGCCCAGTGTTTTTTTAAATTTGGCTAATTAGTTTATTTGGTTATTTGATTGTTTCTTAGTTTTACCGGTTTGCCGGTATTGGCGATACGGTTTATATGTTGAGTTTAGGTTTAGGTCCAGTTGTTGTGCCCCGTCTTCGAGGCCTGCCATACGATATGTTCCCAAAATATAATGCAAGATTACAAGTTGCGCGCCAAGTTCTGATCTTCCTCGATACACAGAGTATCCGCTTGCTGCCCTGGCTTGCACGGTCTCAAGATCTGTCGTCCATTGAAAACATACGATCACGGGTTACTGAGAGACTGGCCCGCCATCCCTCTAAAGCTAATACGGTTGATGAAGTGTGGCATAGACATGAAGCAGCATTATGTTAATGAGTTGTCCCATTAGCATACTGCTTTTATTAATGAGTTGCCCATTTCTGTCATCCAAGACCAGTTTGACTCCATGCCTAACGGGGTAAGGACGGTTTTAGCTGCTAGGGGGTGGCAGATTTTTCTATTAATTTCGCACCCCTTTAAACAGCTTACAGATTTAAATTTTGTCTCCATGCCGTACTGTTTACGTACAATAAATATTATTTTTGTATTTGCTTTCATTCATGGTAATGCAGTTTTAATGGCCAGCAGAGTACGTAAAGAATGCGGACCCATTATGTAGTTAGTGATCTTCTTGTTTTGAATGTTGACTAATTTTATCAAGATTGGAATAAAACTGTAGATTTGTATAAATTAAAAATACATGGATACCCTCATTTATTTAAATATAATTAAATAAATGAGGGTAGAAAGATAGGAAGGTCAAAATATTCCTAAACGTAAGTATAGGAAAGGGAGGATTGTAGCAGAAAGTTAGGTTTCGTAATTTTTATAAAGCGACTTCTTTAAATTTAAAAATATCAAATATATCTTTGTATCTTTTAAAAAATCTTTTATATTGAAATCTATTATTAACTGTTGCGAAAATAAAAGTGTAGATCCCTAAAGGGGCTGTTTCCTCGACTTATTGCAAGCAGCATCGGATGAAACAGTATTCCAGGAAAATGATGAAATATGAAATATAAATCATCTTTTCTCGGCCAGTGTCTTTGCGTATTATGCGACAGTTTTAACTTACGTCACTCAAGATCTGTACGATAATAAACAGTAGTATCTAAAACTAGAGAAATCGCAGAAGTAGGGGTATCTACCCATCTGTTGGATCTAAGGAAAAAATAAATAGATAATAATAGAGAAGATTAAAGGGGGGATCACTTTTCCAGATCTAGGACCTCTCGCTAATGTTCCTTTTTGCTGGAAAAATAACATCAACATCGATCTCTTTAGTATTAAAAGAATAGCCATTGCTGTTACTTTGTATTGACATGAAAGAATATCTAAGGCTTAATATAAGACAATCTGTTGTATTTAAGCCTCCATTTGATTTTTAAACTCTTGTGTAGAGGTACTGTAGTCAATGAGTTGAGATTTATTTTTTATTCAACTATTTTCTTGCGCATTGATTCAAATATCTACTTATAAATCGTTTAGTTTGTTACTGAATAATAGAGAGATTAAACTAAAATTAAATATTTTATGCTTCACAGAATGACAATATGCTGGCCCGTGGAAAAGAAAAATTATTTTATTTCAGTCAGTGACAATACACTGGTTTAAATAGCCGAGTTTGTTCATTAATACTGGAAGCTTATACTTTTATTAATTTTTTCAAAAAGCAAAGTTTTAGTCCCGTTCACAAGAGCAAATTCGACCGGCAGCGAAAACCGGTTCTTCCAATGTGTCCCATTCACACGGTGAACAAGCATTATCCGCTCCTCGGAAATGGAGGTAGAATGTTCCTACCTCTCTAGAGCCCCGTTCACAAGAGTAGATTCGACCGGCGGGGAAAGCCGGTTCTTCCAAATATATCCCATTCACATGGCGAACAAGCAGTAACTGCTTCTCCGGATTGGAGGCAGAATGCTCTTACCTGTCGCGAGGTACCAATCCAACTCGTCGTCCATGCATAAAACTCCTAGGCCGAAACATCAAAATTGCGCGGAATCTCAAGTATTTAGGGGTAGTATGGGACCAAGGTCTCACTTGGATTCCGCATATCATGGAAACCAGAAACAAGACGTCAATTATCGCCCGCATAGCAAGACAATTTCAAGGTCGCAACTGGGGCCAAAACCCCCACATCCAAAAAGTGCTATACCTCACAGTTGTAGAAAAAATAGCTTTATACGCTGCAGTGATCTGGGCGCAGCCAATGGGTACTCGCAAGATCAGGCAACTTACAACGCCCCTTCGCCCTGCAATTAAGTAAAGCCTACCGCACAACCGCCACCAGTGCAGCAACAGTTCTAGCCGGCATATTACCACTCCATATAAAAGCAGAGATGGAGGCAACTTTTACTAAATTGATCCACCTACGCAAAGATGCAACTTTCGCAAATACCAGCTACAGTCCAGTCCAGTTTGAACGTCCCTCCACTTCTACCCATACTCATCCAGCTCTCAGAGGAAGTGGAACCCACATCAAAATTGACAAGCAACAGACTCACACCGTCGACACACGCACCACGGAATGGGGAACCAGATCTACACAGACGGTTCAAAGCAGGAGAATGGTGTAGGCAGTGCTTTTGTGCACTATGAGAATGGCAAAACTGTACACGACTGGCAAGGACAACTTCGCACTCACAATAGCATCTTCCAGGCGGAAGTACTGGGAATTACGGCAGCAGTGCAACATCTCATAGATTGCCAGATCCCACGAGCAAATATCTATACCGATAGCCTTTCAACTTTACTTGCACTTGAGAACCATCATCATGTCTCACCTCTCATACTCAGTCTCCAACATCTCCTTATGCAACACCCTCATTACCATTTCAATCTAGTCTGGGTTAAAGCCCATGCGAATAATGAGGGCAACGAGGCTGCTGACACGTTAGCCAAAGATGCAATCTCCAATCCGACAGCCCAACCCATTACCGTACCTGCGCCCTACTCTTATCTAAAGGGCCTCCTACGAGAGCAAGGAATGCACCAATGGCAACTTGAGTGGACCGAATGCGAGAAAGGCAGACGGACTTTCACCTACCTCCCGAAAGTTTCCGCCGATCGACTCTTTGCCGTAGCACCTCTCACCTACTTCATCACGGGTCACGGCCCGTTTCCCAGCTATTACAATCGCCACGGCATCTCAAATACAGATATCTGTGTCTGTGGATCAGAAGGGTCACCAGACCATTACGTATTTGAATGTCCTTTGACGGCTGCACTGCACACCATCTTCCGCTACAAATAATAGGAACGCCTATCACCGGTTCCTTATAACGCATAAAGGAGTGGTTAATTCAATCTCCAGCATCATGAATACCATCGCGGCATTGGGCACAGACCTTTGCCTACCGTGCTAAAATGATGCTATGGTGTACTGACGATAAGCTCTAAGACTAGTCCAGTGAATTTTACAATATCTGGGCTTCACCACAACTGTGTGTTTAAGCTCCCCTGCCCACAATCTAAAGTGGCAATACTAACAATTCGCAAATATGTGGCATCTCCTTAGAGAGATGTGTTATGCCTCCATAATGATACGTGTGTAATCCCTTCAACAGCATGTGAACAACATCTTCTTATCTTCTTACGCAGTGTTAGTAAACGCTTGTGTGCCTCACGGTGCACACATTGCTGGGGCACTGCCCAATAATTAGTGCTACAACATCCTCGTGCCTTTTATCAGTGTTTTTATTTATGTTCTTAGCGATGCTACAATAATCAACGCCTTAGCAATCTAACCGCACTCTTCTTCTGCACACATGAGTATTCATGAACTCATCATTCATCATTCAAGATGTACTTGTATTTATATCCAACAGAACTGCCTTACACTAACATTGTGCTCCAGCTTTCATGTGACTTCATGTACTCCATTTATCTTTTTGTGCCTTAAGTGACTATGTGCATGTACCTGTTTTTTGTGCTCTCTGTTTATGCATTTTACGCATTGTGCTTTGTGTATTGTTGCCTTTGCATTTTTTTTTTTTTTTTATTTTTAAATGCGTCTTATTATCCAAGTATTTTTAGTTTAACTACCTACTATCTGTAACACCACAGCTTTCCTCTTCAAACTGTAATACAATCCTACTAATGCCCTTGTAAGGCATTCCCTTTGACAACCTCAATAATCTCCTGGTGCAGCCTCGTGTGGTTCCAGGAAGCTTTTGCCGTAGTTAGAGGAGGGTTTGGAACACATGCCTGTTTACCTCTGTTAGACACCAGGCGTTCCAGTCCTCCGTAACCTACCTACCTACCTACCTGTCGGGAGTAGGGCAAATGGGGAGATTTCCCATACTACGCTGCGCGATTGCGCGGTTCACTGAATTTTAGTTACTGCTCGCTGGACTGTCAGCAAAACAATCGCGTTGATAGACGTCTGGGGATGTGATGTAAAAGAAACGGAAATTTATAAGGAAAATACAAACAAGGTTATCTGATGCTGGATATTCCAGAAATATCGTTCAAATTAAAACTGAAGTTAAGAGAAGTGCATATCGGCTTCAACGCGACAAGGGACTACCTTTTGAATGATTTTTTTTTAAATTTAAGAATTTTCATCTACTTTTTAAGAATGTTATTAAATGGTTTAAGACAAAATGATTTTAAGCTGAAAAAAATTTATTTAAATTTTTGAAGAAAAATTTAACAATTAAAATACCATTCTTTTCCTTCAATTTTCAATGTTTCCCTCCAAATTTTTTACTGTATTTATTAGAGTGTTCTTAATAACTTCAAGTAACGATTTTGCAATTAATGAATTAGTTTCTAAAAAAAGTAAAAACACATTTTTATGTAAAATTTTTTAAACAAATATGATCTCAGTCACATTTTCATTTCAATAATTTTCCTTTTCAGTATTTTGCAAAACTCATTCTTGTTTTTATAAAGTATATAACTTTAAATAAGGAGTAAAAAAAATTAAATAAATTTTTTCCATACCTATTTTTGTTTTAGGACTTTAAGTAAAAGGAATTATCTAAATAATGCAAACTTTTCTCAGTGTGCATTTGCAGTTTAAAGAATACAATCTGTCTAAGTAGACATTAAATCATTCCAAATTTCTTAAAAATTTTATTACTGAATTTCAATACACACACGTGCCACTTATTGAATTGGTAAATATAAACATAAATTACAAGCTTTTATTTAAAATCTTTGTAAAACAAATTCACATCAATAATTATATTTTCTAAAACATTTATAATCAATATAAAAACATTTAAAATTAATATTAATAATATTTTAATATTAATTTAATTATAATTAAGATTAATGATATTTTTAAAAATAATAATATTAACAATATTTATTTGTCGTTTTATTAATTTTTTCAAAAAGCAAATTTTGAAATTTTTACAGGCAAAAAAATTGTATTTAAAACCGTTCAGCAGCTTACGTTATTTCTTTTTTTTTTTTTAACCGTTTGATCTTGTACATAAATTAATTTAGGTGTATTTTAATTAATTAAAGAGTTAAATTCCGATGGCATTCTACAGCAATAGTAAACAAACTACGTAAGCAAAGTTAAAAAGTCAAAAAAATGCAAGCAAACGTTAGAGATAACGTTTAATTTAAAATTTTATATTGGTAAATTCTCTTTCAATGACGGATGTCCTCCATATTTAAGCTACTTTATTATCCATATAAAGTTAGCGGTACAGTATCGGTCAGATAAGTTCTAGAAGAATTATGAACCGTTGCATAAACAAACTACTGCATTTTCCTAATTAAAATGCTGTGAAAGTGCCTCTTTATATGTTTCTAGTTATGTTTATATTAAAATAGTTAAATTCGATTTTAATTTAAATTAAAATAAGATTAGGGTGTTAAGAAGTTTTAAATTCATTTCTCTTAATTTAAAATTCATTTTCGAAGTTGAGTTTATCAGAATTCAGTTCTAACTGTTTTACAATATTACGCAATAATTGTGTAAGGAATTTTCTCTTTTCGCGTTCCTGGGAAGGTAATTTGTAGCACATTCAGCTTGTAATCCTAAAATATCAATACAGATCACCCTTATCATTCACAAAGTAATCTGTTTATCCCACAGTTTTGATCTGATTCACTCCGTAATAAACTGATTCCCACAACCTAACGATATATAGGCCAGCCAGAAGCTTTTGAGAAATTCACTCTAGAATTTCAAAAACGAATTTTTTAAAAACTTCTCAAAACTGGGCAAGTTGGCACAAAATCACCAGATGTTGTCAGTTCGCCGACAAAAAAATGCGCCAAAGTTTGAGGGGGAATTTTTACATATTTTAAATTTAGAACGAAATTTCACATACTAATTTATGTCATAATATAAGTGTCCATAAATGGTTATCTTGATTACGAAACATTACTCACACTTCTCTCGAGAGAGCCCCGTCCTACATTTCTTTCTTTGGAGTATGTTGAATGCATTTTGTATCCACGTATCAGTTAATAATAATATATATGACTGTGTGATAGTGCATTCAAGCCATAACACCAGAAATATTGAAGAAAGTGTGATGTGAAGTTAAGCGGTCATTGCATATTTTGTCGCGCTATCAGACATGGACTTAGGGAAGTCTATTAAATGTTTTCAATAAGATTATAAACTTTGGCCGTTTTGCATTTGAGATTCAACGCAGGTTTGCATGAGTTATTATGTTTTGTCAGTAGGGCAAACATTTGTGGACGCCACGTGCATTTGGTATTTAATTATTTTTTTATTTATTAAGTTTTTGCTGTCGCTATGTTCGTTAAATTTTTATTGTGTATTAGCTGAAATACTCGGCTTGCTCATGCTTTACGCAGAATGAACAGCTTCCTTTAGAGGGATGTGGGTTGTATTTCAAAATTTCATGTAGACATTTATTTTATTCTTATTTCGGTTGAAGATGAATTTCGAAAAATTTTATTAGTTTTTATATACTTAGATGAACACGGAGCCATGTAACGATTTTAGTGAAAACAGATACTTGCTTTGTTATCGGTTATTTCAAATTGCTCCGTTATTGATCTATTTCCGGACCTTCTGGATATAACCATCCATTTTGGTCGATCACTCCCCCGTTTACTTTGTTTCACGAAAACCTAATAGAGAGCTCACTTATATTGTGCTTTAAAGACTCTAGACTGTTCTGAAAAGTCCTACACTGTTCTAAAGAGTAATGAACATGGCTAAATCTAACCGGTTTAGTAACAACTGATACCGGGAATGCAACAATTGTGACCTGGACTTCAGGTGGGTGATATGACTCCAAAATTGAAACTCTATTGAAGTATTAATATTTCTTCTTTTAAAATATCATTCATGAATTCCTTGCTTAGCATGTAGGAGTCCTACTGACAGTGTGAATGTAACAACTGCAGCATGAACCTAAGCTGGACGACGTGAGCTCAAGGGTTAACTAATAGAAACTCCTCGAATGTGGATACCATGGGACGGTTTTCGAAATATGATGTAGACAGTGACGATCGTATTTAGAAGGCGAAATGCTAAAATTCTATCAAGATCGGAATAGAAGTAAACATTTGTGTGAGTTACACACACAAATAAACAAACAGATCCTTATTTTCATTTAAATGAATAGGGAGATAATTTTAATGAATACAGCTAGTGTCATTTCACGGTTCCAGCTAAAAATTAATAACATTTCTTACATTTTAAATCGCTTAATTTTTTTTGGTTAATAATGGAATAAATTTGTAAAAAATATTTAAAATCTTACTGTTTTCTCTGCGTTGCTGAACGACAAGCGCCCTTAAAAACATTTTCATTCGGATATTGGCATCGCATTTATATTAAATTACTCACTTTGTTTATTAATTTCGAAGATAAAATATATTGTCTTTTGCCAAGTGGCAACACAGTTCTTTTACATCTCTGAGGCTTCTGATGAAATTTTAAATGTAAATATATCTCGCTTTGCAGAATGCCGTTACAAAGCTTTTAACTCGTTGAGTTTTTTATAAAAAGTTCCATTAATTTCGCATAAAATATATGTATAGAAAGAATGCGCAATCCGCGAGGTGGTTTTGAGAGATCTTATGTAGACTGCGAATTTCCTCTTGTTTCGAAGGTCAAGTGTGCCAAATTTTATCAAGATCGGAATGAGCAAACGCTAGGACACTCTTCTCTTCTAATACTAATATTGCATAGCAACTTATTAATGCAATAGTTTTCTGTAAGTACCGAAACAATGTTTAATAAAAATCTTACGTAGAGATAAAATGCTCTAACAGCCAGCCATTTCTTTTTCCTCCGTTATAGTG